ATCATTTGCTTATATTGTCAGAGATGAGCCTCCGGGTCAGAACGTCCATCAAAAACTTTGAACCATGGCACCACAAACTTCTTTGGTACCTCAATCTCCATGGCTTCATCTTTGGTGAATGATAACAAAATGGCTTCGTCATCTATGTCATCATCGGGGGTGGAGTTGTTCATCCTTATGGAGTCCAACTTGGATCCGAGGTCTTCCACATTCTTGTCGTATCTCCTTTCACCACTGCCACGAAGGGCAACATGCCCCCGTCTACTCTACTATTCACGAAAATGGCGAACCCCTCCTCAGACCCCTCTACGCCCCCTCGTCCCCTCGCCCGGACAATCTATAGCAGAGGTTGTTTCAAGCCAAAGGTTTGGCCCTCTTAGTTGGGACACACAGGTCATGTCCATTGGTCCTCGGGCACTTCGGAGCCTTAGAGCCCTCTACTTCACCACTAAGGCGGTTCCTCAAGTTGTTGGCCCCCACCTCCTTGATGGAGGGCTCCTTAGACAGTTGTAAGTTTCAAGATCCCCCACTGGAAAATGCAAATTTGTCGAATTTGTTAAGAACACTCACGTTATTTTCCTCTATCTGCCTTAATCAATCCCCTAACTGTTCTTCGATGAGATCGACAAGTTGACGAGCTAAGGGGCCGTNAGGATGCATGTTAGTCCATGGTGTGCCGACGTCAACAAAGTCAATGGCACGTGTCGACTCCCTGTTAATTCTTAGAAATGTCCCATCAAGTCCTATTAGCTTTTGCATGAGGTATACAATTTTATTTTTTGGATACAAAGATGAGGAGGCATAATAGTTTTATTTTTGGGGTTATTTAGTTTCTACGGAGTGAATGAATGTATTTAATTATTCTACTTAGTTTAATTTTTTTGTCAAAGTTTTAAAATAATTGTTGGTTCATATCAATTATTAGAATTTTTTTGTTACACAAATTATTTTGATCCGAGTGTGTTATAGCTGCTAAATTTGTTATAGTGAATTGTAATAAACAATAAAATTAGAGTGAATTGGTTATTCATGGATATTGTATTCGAGCATCTCCAAATGCACTCTTCAAAATAACTATTCAAAATATATTAAAATATTAAATTTTNCGTCAAGGACCTATAAAGATCTCTATCCCGAGACAAGTCGAGTCTAAAAGAGGCCACCGCCATGACCTCGAAATATCTTTCTACTTCATTTACCTTATCCCAATAAAGAGTGGTGTATTGGAGGAGTGTTTTGTCTTTTTTTCCGCCGGAGGGTCAACAAGGATCCGACATCGTTGGGGTGTTTGCTCCCCGTGATGAACCATGCAAAAAACTGTCTAGTCAGCTCCCTCTAGGACCCTTTGCTATTTGGAGGAAGGGTCTTGAACCAATTCATGGTTGTATCACCTAGGCTCATTGAAAACACCCTGCACAACAACCTGTGATTTGAGTAATATAAGGACATCATTTGCTTATATTGTCAGAGATGAGCCTCCGGGTCAGAACGTCCATCAAAAACTTTGAACCATGGCACCACAAACTTCTTTGGTACCTCAATCTCCATGGCTTCATCTTTGGTGAATGATAACAAAATGGCTTCGTCATCTATGTCATCATAGGGGGGTGGAGTTGTTCATCCTTATGGAGTCCAACTTGGATCCGAGGTCTTCCACATTCTTGTCGTATCTCCTTTCACCACTGCCACGAAGGGCAACATGCCCCCGTCTACTCTACTATTCACGAAAATGGCGAACCCCACCTCAGACCCCTCTACGCCCCCTCGTCCCCTCGCCCGGACAATCTATAGCAGAGGTTGTTTCAAGCCAAAGGCTTGGCCCTCTTAGTTGGGACACACAGGTCATGTCCATTGGTCCTCGGGCACTTCGGAGCCTTAGAGCCCTCTACTTCACGACTAAGGCGGTTCCTCAAGTTGTTGGCCCCCACCTCCTTGATGGAGGGCTCCTTAGACAGTTGTAAGTTTCAAGATCCCCCACTGGAAAATGCAAATTTGTCGAATTTGTTAAGAACACTCACGTTATTTTCCTCTATCTGCCTTAATCAATCCCCTAACTGTTCTTCGATGAGATCGACAAGTTGACGAGCTAAGGGGCCGTTCTTTTTGCCCCCAAGATGGTCACTGTCTTAAGAAAACTTGGTTGCTTCTCATAGACAATGTCAAATTGTGCGCGATGATTTTTGCACAATTTATAAATAGAAAAATCTCTCCCTTAGTGAATGCAAGTTTACTTGGAAAGTCAAAGATCCCATAGCAAACGGATGTGAGAGATGGTATAAGGGGTGGTGATGAATTACTTTTACAGTGGTCTAAATGAGCCAAATTTATCGAGATGAATTCTATCACTTAAAAAGAAAGGTAAAAAGGGTGTCGGAGTTTTTTTCAGCGTGACCCTTCCGACAATCGAGTCAGTATGTGAGAAAGGGGTAAGAAATACTATTTTATTGCTTGGGTGAGAATGTGCATACCTTAGACTTTAGTTTGTGAGAGTTNTCCAAATGCACTCTTCAAAATAACTATTCAAAATATATTAAAATATTAAATTTTTTATTTTAAAGAGTCATTTTTATAAAGTTACTCCAATCATGCTCTCTATTTTAATAAAGTATTATTAATATTTTAAGTCATAATATTACATAGTTTGACATGTCATCAAAATGCAAAATAGCTATCCCTTTAAAGACCGGCCTTCCTTCTAGCTTGGTGGTTGTGGGTCCAAATTTTGACCCCCAGGGTTGTGGGTTCAAGAGCTGGTAGAGAGAGTGAAGAGAGCTATCCCTTTAAAGTGCAAAAAGAGTTATTTGGCTCTCTAAATATAAAATAGCTAGCCAAATGTAGAGAGTCATTTAACTCAAATGTAAAATAGCTAGCCGAATAATTAATCTCTTATAATACAATTCTGTGATTTAACTCTTTTTTTTAGCTAACAAATACTCTTTCCATTATTAAATATCTGTCGTTTAAAATTTTTGCACAAGGATTAAAGAAGCTATTAAATAGCTCTAATATGAGTAAAAAATAATTACACAAGACTAAAATACTTTTATTCAATATGTATTGTGAAGGAAAGGAATATGAAAGACATTTACCCTCCACCTAATCTAATGCATTGAAAAGTTAAGGGTAAATTTAGAAGAAAAAATATTAATTATGTTTTGGTTTTATAAAATGACAGATATTATAGAACAAAAAAAATTATGTAAAACGACAGATATTTAAGAATGAAAAGAATACCAAATAACTAGCCCTCGGACATGCTGTTACATTTTTCTCTAGATGGCAGCTAATTAATATACTTCAAGTTAGTGTGACTTAGGCGGCAATTTCTAATTTTATTATATGTGTTTAAAGACTTTTACTTCTCCAAAGCGGAAGATAATCCGTCGCTTCGCAATCAATACCAGGAGGAGTACCAGAGAACCCTCCACCAGCCATTGCCGCGATCTGAAGAAATCGCAGCGGTATGGATCAGAGGCCAAGCAAGGTTATGTAGATGTGTGTGTGTGTGTATAATTTTATCCCCCCGATCAACATTCTAGTCTTCGCAACAATCCCTTTGTCCGATGTCAACGATTTGTTTACGAATCTTCATTTTCTGAATCTAAATCTTCAAAATACTCCAGGATATGATCGGCACCCTAAATCCTTGGGCTTAAACAATGTTTTTTTTTTTTTTTTTGGGGGGGGGGGGGGGGGGGGTTTAATGTGCGACATGATTTTTTTTTTTTTTCTTTTGGTCATCTAAATTGTTCTCTGTNGGGGGGGGGGGGGGGGGGGTTTAATGTGCGACATGATTTTTTTTTTCTTTTGGTCATCTAAATTGTTCTCTGTTGGTTCAGCAGACAAAGCGGTGATATTCGCTTTTGGGGTGTTTCGATTTGTACGTGAAAAGACAATATTTTTAATAAATTCACACATCCAAAGAAGTTTTATGCCCTGATCCTTGTTGTACATTAATAATTTGATTGATTCCGATGATTTGATTTTGTCTATTTGAACGAATTCCTTATTTGCTAAAACACTGTTTTGCTTTTTTTTTTTTTTTTTTTTTTTT